ACAAGGCGTGCGGCGCAGTTTTGAACGCGCTGGAGTTTCTGAATAATATAGTCCAGTGACCTGAGGAGCAACGAGTTACATTTAATCTTGTTACTATCATTTTTTAATGGTCATTTTTTATTTTACACAGTAAATAGGTTGAACCCAAGGGTAAAATGTGATAGTGTTGTCTGATTGTCTGGCTGAGTGTAGTCCTGAGAAGGACTGTTGTCAGTAGTGGTGACTTGTTTATATCTTATGTTACTTGTAGCTTGTTTGTCAGCAAAGGCTCTGTTAGAGCTAATGGGTTAGTTTATTTTTACGTAGATATGAATTGTAACACTAGGTTCAGTTGAGTGCATGTTAAAGTAAGGGGATTTAATGATTCCTAAGATTAATTATACATGTAGATCCCCCATTTTTTATATAGTACTGCTGTACATGTACATGTATGTAGCAACCTCACGTTGGGAATTTTAAGTTATTGGGAATTCTAAGTTAGATTTGAAGATCAGGTATTTACAATTATTGTAGTTTTATTATACCCCATTTGTTTCCAACAGAGGACTAATCGCTTTGCACCACCTCAACAAGAGAAATGTGAGACATGCACGAAGACTGTTTATCCAATGGAGAGGCTTGCTGCTGACAACAAGGTGTTCCATAAAACGTGCTTTAAATGTGCTGAGTGCAAATCAACATTAAGGTTTGTCAACACTTGCAATAATTATTAGTTGATATTTACTTTGGGAATGTGCATCATGTGAGGTGAAGATGCTAGGAATTGATGGTATTAAAAAGTAGAACTGATCCTAAAGGGGGAAATGTGTTGAAATAGAATCAAATTCTCACAACTAAGATTTTTCCAGAACTACAGTATATGCAGGGTTTGTAAAGGCCATGGAAAACCTGAAAAGTCCTGGAAATCTGCTTAACTTAAGCAAGAAAGTTTTTCAGAATTCATGTTATTTAAGAAGTATATGTTGACCTCTAGGAGAATTGATGGTGAATTCTTGGAAATTAAAGGGTTTAAGGTGAAATTTGGAGTCCTGGAAAAAACAATCCACCTCCTGGAAAAGTCCTTGAAATTTCTTTTTGAAAAAGGGTACAAACCCTGTATATGGTTGTGTTCATAAACCTTGTGTACATGTATGTAAATGTGCCATCAATACCTCAGCAATTTGCTTGGGAGGGGAGCGTCAATATAATGTACATTGTAGTCAGTAGCAACTGAAATGTACCCAGTTAGTAGAACCCCATATTAATGGTAGTAAATGGGTACAAATGCTTTCACACTGAGCACAGAAACCACATGTACTGCGTACCAGTTCTAAGGCTTCACTCAAGTTTTCAGCTTTGGCTGCAAGTGATAATACATAATCTAAAAATCTTTTACATGTACATGTAGGTCCACTGTAAGTTGTAGAACTAGTGGATGGTCTTTAAACTTGTTTAAGTGCAGTTTTTGTGGTACTTTAAATGCATGTACCCAGTAAGTACTGACATAATGCATGAGTGGGATAATTTGATATTCTGAAAAATAATCAGTAAGTATAGGTATAATTATTTTTTATGAGATGTTTTAATTTAGTTTTTTTTTTTTCTGCACACAGTTTAGATTTGGTTGACTACTATAATTACATACATATATGTATGTTATTTACAATGTTGATTTACACTTACTCATTGCAGTATGTCACACTCTCATCACAGCTTATTTGTGTCAATTGTGCATGCATTTGCACCTGTGTTTTTTATTGACATCTACATATATTATTAAACATGCGACCATGAGCATCTCAGAAAGTAACTCACCCAAAAACTTAAGTCGTCTCGATTTTATCACCAAAAAATAATTTTGTGAGGCCTGCCAAGTGATTTTGCAATTGTAATTCATATTTTTGTTCATAATTAATTTAAAAGTCCATCAGTATACTGAACAGTTTAAAAGACAATTTTTTTGCTATTTAGTTCCAATTTAATGGTAATAAATTCAAGTAATTTAAATACTTTTGATGGTAAACTTTTCAGCTTCTGAAGAAATGTTAAAGAGATATATGCAAACTAACTGATAGAGTTATATACAAGAATTCCCGAGTTATTTTTATTATACAAAATTGCTCCTAGCCAGAATGATATGGTGGACGACGATAATTGAATATTAAGAAATGATAAAATCAAAACATCTTTACAATGTAGGATAAAAATAAAATTTGATCATGAATCAAGGAAGTTGCTATAAGAGAAAAAATGCTAAAATGGAAAGGAACTATGTTAGAATGTAAACAAATTTTGTGTAACATACGTTGTACATATACTTTAAGCTCGAATAAGGTCGTTAAATCTAAAATAATTAAATAGAACTTCGCTCTAATACAAGATGTTAATTTTGCTTTTAGTGGCAAGGGGACTATTTGGATTAATGTAGCCAAGAAAATTGCTAAGTTAAAATGAGTTTCGCGTAAATATAAATCGGAAGTCAACTACAGCGTTCATCCAATTAAATTATCAACATCACTGTGTCGTCCGTGTATATGCCTGATGAGAAATTCACAGTCCTGTCATCTTCACAAGATCTTCATGATCACAAAACACGCCAGAAATTTTGTTTCTAGAATATCGTGTTACTTACTGATACATTTTTGTTTGGTAGAGTGGGAAAACCACCAAAATCTGCCTGAAGGTGAGAATAGAATACAACAAGAATTCCAACTGACTTACAAATTACACCTGACTGCCTAAGTTTTTCTAAACGTCTTGAAAGTTGGCTGTGTCACATTTGAATTGTCATTTATGTTATACATGGCAAGTTTCCCAAGTTTCTTACAGCCCAGTAAATTTTCTAGCAGTTTGTTAAACAATGTTAAGAGTTTACATTGGGTTATAGGCTTCGTCTTGAGTTGTTAGTCCTAACTCCTTAGACTTAAGAAGAATCATTATGTAATGACATTTAGGGAGGCAAAGTGGATGATAGTGATAACATTTGTGTATGCTTGTACTTGATGGTTATTTTCCTCGTTTGTTTTGTTTCGTTTTTTTTATTTCATTTGTTGTTTTGTTATTGTTTTTGGTCTTAGTCTTGGTCTCGCTATCGTTGGTTTTGTTTTCTTCTTTCCTTTCCCATCTGATGTACAGTTATTCAACATGAAAGAGTCTACCTTCTCTGTACATTTGTGCATTTTTTCAAATTAGCCGACTGATTTGCCCCCCCCCCCTCCCCCCGGGGGCAAAAACTCACTAGAGGAGGGGGACATTGTCGCAGTGTCTTATATACAGTGAGGTGGTGGTTGAGAGAATTTGATACTAAATCTAGACATTTTCCGAGTACATCTGTTTGCTCTTTCGGTAATGTTAGTTAATTAAACGCTTTTGATATCATTATAAAAGGCCAGTGCAATGTGCGGAATTTTCACTGCATGCGGCTTAACTAGGAATTTTGAAAAAAATAACTTATCTGGTTAGCAGCAGACATATGAATATCTAAAAACATTTCAAGCAGCAAAATCAATCGGAATGCACGGAAACAAACCGAATAAGACCCTAGCCCTTCCCTCCCTGATCTAATTAGTGATTCTCTTCACTGTCAACTGTGCAGTTATGATGATGTTAGTTTGGAGAATTTGGTATTGGATCAACTAATAATCCTCTAATTGGTTTTTTTCTATATTGTCATCATTTGTATGCTTGATATCGTATTGTAAGGAGAAATTTTGCCTTCGTCACTCATGAAGGGAAAGGTTCTGAAACACGTAATCTGACAGATCTTGACATGACCCAATAACTTCTAGGAAGAGAATTGTATTTTCTCTTTTGGCCCTTAAATGTTTTTTTGAAAATTGATAAAGATGATAATTTGTTGCCCCATCAAGATAAAACCCTTCAGGGTGCGAGCCTTTCTTTCCTAATTACCTCTATGCTAAATGTTAATCACCTCTACGAGTTTTAGGGTTAACGCGCTAAGATACATGTATTTTATGGTGGAACTGTTGGTTACAATACCATCTTGAACAGTTGAAGAATTCGTAATGATGAGGCGGTGCCAACTTCATTGTAGCCGAATTGACTCTTTTTCTGTCACTTTTGTCTTGTAGACTTGGAAACTATGCTGCCCTACAAGGGAAACTTTATTGTAAACCGCACTTCAAACAGCTGTTCAAAACCAAGGGGAACTATGATGAAGGATTTGGCCGTGAACAGCACAAAACACAATGGACCAAGGGTAGATGAAACGTGTAATGAGCAGCAAAGGAAAAACCCAATTGCATTCTAGATTTCATTACTGGTCATTCGCTTAAGAAATATTGATGTAGACTAATAGCAAGCAATTTAGGTCACTTTAAAAATCTTCAACTGTAGTTTCCTCTTTTGCCTCTTGCTTCCAAGAGGCAGTAATTAAACGCCGTCAGGAGGGAGCTATGTCAGCAACCAATCTTCCACCCCTTTCATTAAAAGAGAATCGAAATTATTCTTAATGAGGAATTCGGCGATGGAGGATGTACAGTTGAAGTATTTTTATGATTGTTTGAATAGTAAACAGGAGATTTTTGAAATAGTTTTGATAATTTCACAGTAAAATTAATATCGTTGGATAATTTAAACAGTTTTCAGGGGCTGACATAACAATGACAGTGTGAGATCACTCGGATAGCTTGAATTATAATTCACTGTAATATGTGAATTTTATGTTAAATAATGGAAGCTACAAGCTTTAATGAATTTTGCTATGAAGAGTACAAAGAATGAAAAGTGCGTGACATTTGTGCTTTGCATTTAGAGTATCGGGTTTAATATCTTTTGGTGAAAATCAAATCACTTTGTACTGTAAATATTTTTGGAAAGAAAATTTAGCGTGGAGTTGATTACAGCATAATGTGCACTTGCACATTGACTGGCCACAGTTGTTTCGTAAATTTTGTTCGACCTGAAGTACTTGTAGCGGGTGGTATAGCACATAAAGAGGTATTTCATTAATCATTTGATTATTAATTTCAGTCAAGTTCAAGAAAATACTGGCTAACTTTTTTCAGGGAGTAAGTATTTGTGATCAGTGTTGCGTGACCCTAGCTACAGAAAAACATTGTTTGCGTCACGCAAGATCGATTAGTTTTCACCTGAAGTACACTTGTTGTGTTAGTCCCACAGAGGTTTGGTGAGTGCATCATTGGCCAGGTCATGACAAATTCGGTTCTCCTCAGCATGTCTAAAATAGTTTATTTTGATCAGCAATAAATTGGAAATGATTTTTAGGAATAATTAAATCCTTGATCTGCGTCTTTTCTGGCGTGATTATGTTGAATGGTGGTAATTTTTCATAATTGTCGATGGGGTGCCCACCTGTTTGGGTATCTCTAGCTTTGGTGCGACTGATCTCCCTAAATTGCCCTAAAAACTCGCTCTCCTCTATTTTCGGAAATTTAGTCGAAGAGCGCAGGAAACAAACGTACATGTTCAAGCTGAAAGAGTTCATGTTATTAACCCTTTACACCCTAACATCAGTATGCATATTCCCCACACTGTTCTTTATACATTTCCCTATAGTGCCGACAAGGAGAATTTTATCGTCAATCAAAAGGTTTCTTCCCTTGTGATCATTTCCTTTATTCTCACGACTTTAATGTGTGATTCAGGAGTGATATTGTAGGGAGAAATTAGATGCTGGTCACTTTCAGGGTTTAAAGGGTTAACCTCCGCTTGGGGCTTTGTTGTGAAGATGAGGGAAACGACCGCACTTCTGGTGTTTTATGTTGTTGAGCTTGAAGATTGCCCATAGTGCTGGGCGTCAAAATCAGCAACATGGAGATTCTAGCCTGTTAGTGTATCTCTGAAACTGGAATGTATGCTTTGAAGATGAAGCGAGCGCAGAAAACTAAACTATTTTCTAAATTCACGACAGTTCTTTCATGGTTTCGTGGTATGATTGCGTACGTTCGAAGACCACAATCTTGACAAAACAAGTAAGTTTCAAGCGTTGACTTCGTTTTTAAACGAGTTGCTTGGTTAGCCGGGATGCGAATGCAAGAACGAGAAACCTTCCAGAACCTTCCCCCACTCGTCCTTTGTCGTGCCACATTTCATGGTTAAGTACCTAGAACACGTCAAAAGAATCACCTGGCTTCCCACGGCAGTCGTCCACTGAGATGTGACAAGAAATGTGTGACAACAAGGAAACTACTGTTTTCTGAACAAAAAATACCTTCAATGCTTTTGCTAGTGAAGAACGTAGTCAGATCCGTCGAAGGTCGCATTAGACTTATCTTCTGCTCTAAAGAGCATCTTATTTCTCCTTACAGTGTCACCACCAATTGTTAAGGAAAGTCTTTTTACCACTATAGAGGATGTATGCAGAACAGTGTAGTGCATATGTAGACCGATGAAAGAGGAAAAAGGTTTGACGGAGTTAAATAAGGCCACAGTTTAAGACAATCGGTGGACCTCAAGATTTCTTCACAAGTGGGTCTTGGAAGTAAGGAACTTTGCAAGATTTAAGCCATCTTTAAAAAATTTAGGTTTAGATAAAACGTTGAATTTCGTTGAAGACGGATTAAAACGTAGTTGTGCTAAAAACGGCTAAACTTTGTTGTGTTAACTGGTCTTACTGGGTCCGTCTCTTACCAAAATGTCTACGACAACTTCCAACCTCTACCATGCGGCCGAGAATGTTGTTGAATGCGAAGATAATCACCTTTGTTACCAGATGCCGTGCCTGTTTACACAAATGTGGACATTTTAGTGGTTGACCCTATTTAGGGTGGCAAATGCCCTTTCAAGTACTTTGAAATATCAAAGAATACAGGTGAAGTGGTGTGGCCTGTAGCTTAGTGTTCAAGAGCGATTGGTTCGCGCTAAATATCTCGCCTTAAATATAAATTTCAAAAACTAATAGATTTATCTAAACAGTATTTAAACGTGCTCGGTAAAATCAGGAGATTTTTTTTGTTGAAATGACACACTTTTCTCGATGTTAATTGGTGATAAATATTTCATCACATTGTTAGGTAAGCTTCTATAATTGTTTTAACTTCTGTGAGAGACATTTTATCAAAACAACCGAAAAGATTGTGGGATTTTTCCCTTCATTTTTTTTCCTATTAATCTCCCTTATCACAGAAGGTTGGGTCGTAATTTCATTTATTTGAAAGAGGGGAAAGCACAAGAATTTGATTAGATCACATTGAAGACATTGAATAATGAAGAAACTCGGACTATGAATTGTCCAAACGGCAAGCCCTGATGTAGGTTTTCGGTTGGATCAAGGTTAGTATTGTTAGTATTTTGTAACTGATTCAAAGCAAACCTCAATCTCTAATCTCATTTTTTTTATTAAACTGTGTTTGTAAACGGCTTGTTATGTAGTCTTCGAGAATTTTCAACTTTTCTGTAGCGCACAGGCTAGTCACCCATAGCATTTTCTCTAATTACCACAGGTGCACTTGAATTAAGTAAACTGAATGCTAGATAGATGTTGATTAAAAGTATTTGCGCTCCTTTTACACACATCTGCCTTTATAATGGATGGTTGTTTGTATGATTATGAATCCTTTAATGTTGGATTATGTATGTCGGTGGATATATGGAAGGAATGTTTTTCAGCTTAGGTTTTGAAACCTTTGGCCCCTTTCAATTAGGGCGCCCATACCAAGAGGATGAATTGTATCGATTGTTGCATATACTGAACACAGACAGGTTCTTTGTTGGACAAAATATTTATTGTACTATATGATTGATAGAATCGTCAACAGCTATCGAAACAAGTTTCCCTTCAGTAGCATTCAAAGTGAAGGTTAAATATGGTAGTCTCCCATTCAAATCCCTTCTCGTCGTGTTGACGTCAATTGGAAAAGGACAATTTGATAGAGCGCACTTACCTGTATGGTCATTCTGATTTATCCATTTAGTGTTTCATTTTAATGAATCAGGAAGTGACTCTAGTGTGCTGGTTTTCCTTTTCCAGTTGTGGCGGTTTGGAAGCAAGAAAAAACCAAGATGCAACGTGTTTCATACTTCATATGGCTCTTGACATTCCTTTTTAGCAGTTTTCAATGGAGAGCACTCTCAGAGAATTCTGAAATGTTGCAAAAAGTGAAATCGATCAGAAGAATTCGTCCAAATTATGCAAATATGAACTTCCTAGCAAAGAGGAGCCCGCAAATTCAAGGTGTCATAAATTCAGGCGTGCCTGGTCCGGGCGCCCAATATCGATTGAATACAGGGCAACCTATCAAGCAAAATCTAACGCCTTTTCAACAAGCTACAACAGTTCCTGCTGCAGTTTCAACGGTTCCTGCTGTAGTTTCAACAGTTCCTGTTGCAGTTTCAACGGTTCCTGTTGCAGCTACAACGGTTTCTGCGGCTCAACCTGCAGGACAGGTGGCTGGTGCTCAAACTCAACCTGCAGGTCAGCCAGTGAACACGATAACGCGAACTACGGCACAAGCGTCAACTCTTTCAGGGCAACCTGCTGTTTCAGCTCCTTCTGTTGGAACTTCTCCGCAAGGAAGTACCAACGCTGCTTCTACAAATGACATCGAGGATCCTAATGACGATCTTGCTGAAGACGATGCCGCCGATGACGATACGTATGACGAAGATGAGTTGGACCGCGATGAACTAGATTCAGAACCTGAGGCCCCCTGTGTGCCACGTCGGCGCCGGCGTAGACGTCGATGTCGTCACCCTTATCCTCATAAGAGTCGAAGGCTGCGTGGACCAGGACCGCCAGAGTACGACGATTATGAAAGACCCCGAAAACAAAATGATTGGGTGGACTTTAGAGGGGATCCAGGGTTCTTTGATCAGGGAAACCAAGGAGGCAACCAAGGAGGCAACCAAGGAGGCAACCAAGGTGGCAACCAAGGTGGCAACCAAGGAGGCAACCAAGGAGGCAACACGGGTGGGATTGGAGGTCAAGGTGGAATTGATGGTCAGGGAGGAAATGGTGGTCAGGGAGGAAATGGAGGTCAAGGTCAAGGGGGCACAGGAGGCAGAGGTGGCGGTAGGGGAGGAGGAGGGGGAATGGGAGGTGGAGGAGGTGGTGGTGAGGGGGGAGGCAGGGCAGAGGGAACTGGTAAGATATTTCTTTGTAGGATGTTATCGGAAATCAACAGCAATAGCATCGGGCGGGGGCTTGTCCGTTCATTTCCTAGACGGCACTTGTGAATAGCAAACTAGTTTATCTCCTGCCAGCTTAGTCTCTGATCAATTTTCGTTTCATTTCTACAATCAATTTCTGGTTACTTGAGTGTTTATTCTTTATATGGACGTCTTGGAAAACAAACTCTTTTTTCTCTTTCTTCCCCCTCCATTTCCCTTAGACTGATACTTGTCCATAACTGCGTGGCCTCCATATGTTTGGATGAACGAGGCCCGAATAGATATATCGCGCAAAGAACTCGAGAGTGCGTAATTCATTTGCTTTTATAAAAATCTTCCATTGGTCCAAAATCTAACAAAAAGACACGCCCATAATGCCGTTTTATTTTGTGTACTAAGGCACAGGCGTCTCACTTAACTCATTGTCTATTTTGGGATAGAAAATAATCATAGCGTCGCTAGTCAGATTGCAGAATTAGTGATAGAGAGGTGATAGATTCATTCTAAAATAGAATGTAAGACAGAACTCATGATAAAATAGGTTTGTAAACTCGACTTCTGTTGGAATTTTTGCCTCGTGAGTACGATGTCAATGTAATACGTCGATCATTGAAGGTAAGGTTTTAGCTGCAGTGCACAAAGGTAGTGATTTCCTTTCTTTGTTTTGGTGAATCGTTATCTTGTGAGAACATTGATTAAATCAAAATATGGCCTTTTTTTCCTTAGACTGCTGTTGTGTCAATTGGGGAGGACTCAAACCCCACATAGAGTGGGTAAATGTTCCAGTTTGCTATCACCCAAGTGAGTATTTTACCACTCATCACAGTCTCAGTTCACTTAATAACGTTTTATTTCAAATAGTTAGCGATTAACAAACTTCTAGAAAGGTTTTGTGGGGTTAGTCGCGAAATGCTAATACGCTACGGTGTTATTATCCGTAAGATCAGGCCATTAAAGGTTACCGAATAAAGGGGGTAAGTTTCTCAAGAAACTGTTGTGCTGCGTCGGTGGGAGAGTATAACAGGGTAATTAATTGTTATCAACTGAGTTAATAACGTATATTAGCCACCGTAAAGAGTTTAAAAACCGATATTTCGAGCGTTAGCCCTTCGTCAATCGCTCTGACGCTCGAAGCGTTAGCCTTTAAACTCTTTATGGTGACCAATTTACGTTATCAAGTCAGTCGATAATACTTAATTACCCCATTTTGTCTACTATTGAGCTCATGTTCTCTTGCTACCGCAGATCTACAATAGTTTTGTACATATTGCGGGCCTATATCATCTTTGTTTCAGGCTGCATCTGCCAACCTCACTGTGAGCACTGCTACGACCTGGACTGTCACCACTGCTGCTGTGAACCTTGCTGTGGCGGCTGCTGCGGCCATCACTGTCATCACTGTTGCCATCACTGTCCCTGCTGTCACTGCTGTCACCATTGCTGTCACTGCTGCCATTGTAGGCGAGGGGTAGTGACAAACAAACCGCCATTAGGTAGGTCCCTTGTCTTTTGAGTGGTGCTAGTTTTGATGCTCAAGGAGACATGATCTTTTCATAGAATAGAGAAATATGGAGTACATTATATTCACGATTCTGAAATTGGAGGTATTCATATTTTAAAAGTACAAAATTTTGGAGCTGTGTTGAGCTATGTTATGTTTTTACTCTGCTAAACGGAAACGGTAAGAAAAACGGAAAACCAACAACATTAAAAAAGAGAGAGATTAAATCTATGAACCGATCGAGGCTATAGGATCATTGTCATAAAAATCTTATTGTTCCAGCTCTAACCAAAAGTATGGGTCAACGTGATAAAAAGACATGTCGCATCCGTTTCGGTAGACATGTACAACGTACATTTCCTCGACGAGGATGGGATTCGAACCCACGCGTGCAGAGCACATTGGATTAGCAGTCCAACGCCTTAACCACTCGGCCACCTCGTCGTATGTGTCATATCATAAGTCATCAATGAATAATTACAAGGAAGCACGGTATCAAATAACCGGAACAAAAATAAATTATTGACAAAAATGTAATACATGTATCTGTTCTACCACAATTCATTACGCTGTAGAGCGTGCAGAGCGCAGATAATTTAATAGTACGTCAAAACAGATGATAATTTTCTCATTCGGATCCAAGCATTGACTTCTCCGCCATCCAATAGTAGCCTCTCGTTACTCCTTTATTAATTTTCAGCTCCTAGAAGGAAATCAAGGAAACATGATAAGTCCAAGAAAGTATCGAAGAAAAAGAAGTATCACAAAAGAAATTGCTTTTGTGTAACACCGCTCGTCTTGCGCATGCCCTTCTTCCCGAGACTGTGGTAATGGTAATTAGTACCAAAGACTGAGTACTAGTGCAGAAAGGAGATATCTCCTAGGATTAGTTCAGCAAGAATATAGCTGTGTACAAAAAGAATGCCCACTGATGAAACCGAAAAGAGCTGGAAGCAATGCCAGAGACAGTTTCGAACACAACCAACTTCGTGGCTAGGGTGTTATGTACAAAATTATGTAATTAGTTAGGAGAAAGAGCAAAATACTTGGATAATAAAGTTTGATTTCTTTTGTTTTTAGATTGTGTCAAAGATATTTTCTCGATTGGAGAATCAGAAAATGTTTTTGCTTTTTGTTCTATTTTTTTTTAAAGCAGCGTGAAGGTGATAGAAAACAACTGCTAACTGGGACGTAACGAGTAATAGAACAAGTGTTTCAATTCTTAAAAATAAACAGTGCCTGTCTTTTAAAAATATCGGTAGCTTAGTTCACTAAAGAGCATTAATGTGCTCTGTTTTGTTAAGGTAAAACGTCTTTCCTGAACGACTTATCAGCATGAAAATTACTTTAGAGAACTACCTGAAGCAGAACCTCGAACATAAGATTACAGGTGTAGTATTCTAAGTCAAGTTTGCCTTGGACTCTCCTCTTGGAATGCACTATTTGCTTTATTTCTCACTTATTTACCTTAGTTTGGCGAAATAAAGCTTGAAATTGCGTTGAAGGAGTTCATTTCATCTTAATTGGTCGTGTGTCAAACGGATAAGAAGTTTGTCTTTCTTTTTTTGTGTGGGTTACTTTGCCATACTTGAAAGCCGTACGTGAAAATTTTTTTTTCGGAGCTTAAGGGATAAAGAGAGGTACTGTAATGACACTTACAATCATCAAAAGGCCTTTGAAATCGACCAAGTGTAAGGAAAGCTGATTTGTAGCTACCTAGCTGAGGGTGACATCTTTCCAACAACTGCCTCGTCGTTTCAATTCTCTCAAATATTACAAAGACGGAGCAAAACAAACGACAAACACAGTAAGTTTCATTGTTCTGTTACTAATTTATCTTCATTATACCACCCCCCGTTCTCTTTTAATAACATTAATTATTTCGAAAGCAATGGCGCTCGCCAGTTATTGAATTTCTGCTCTCTGATAGAGACAACAATACGAAAATTAAAATTGTTTGATCGAGTTTTGATCGAAGCTTTTCTAACTTTTTTTGGGCCTTCTATTTTCATGGGTGAAGGCAAAGGGGATGAGGTGAGGTTTACAGAAGAGTTTGTCCCCAGAGGCAATATTGGCTTTAAACACTCAAAGTTGTTCGTTGAAGAGGAAGAAACCTTTAGACAACTGAGGTGTGTAATCGTTCTCAAGCGCATAATTGAATTACAATCGAGGCTTATTGAAGAATACTGAACAATAGTGAGTAATAGAGTAGTGATAGAGCTTGTTTTCTCTTTATTATTTAAAAGCCAAACTAATAAAAGTTCTTTTTTATTATGTCATCCTCCCCCCAGGCCGCCATGAAGACAAAAGCCTTCAGTCCTCAGATATCACCTTGCGTATGAAAGCCAGCTTGAGCTCCAAGCTTCATGACTGAGACTAAAATTAAAAGAAAAAAAACTCTCAATTCTACCGAGTGGCATGGATAATTTAACGAAGCTCTTAAATAGGAAAGAAATTTTGCAAACATGCGCTTAAGCACTAACCTGTTCCTAAGTACGGATCCCTGAACATTAGCAGGTGAGAATCTCATTTCACTCATTTTTTAACAAACTGTCAAAAACAGGCAAAGGTAATTGGCCACCGCAAAGCGACCCCAATTCACTTAATATCAACTCAGTTGATAAAATCAAATTATCTTCAGAAAGTCACTCCTTAAATCCAAAGATACCCTGCAATCTGAAGCGAAGATTAGATGTCACGATTTCCTCCAGGTGTTGTGTTAGGGGAAAAGGGTCATAGGGTTTTTCAACATCGACAGTTGAAGTTGAAAACCACCTGCCTATTTCAATTTGCACCAAACCCGTAGGAAATGTTTTGTTAATTGAAAATTTAGCCCTAAATTTCTGCAAATTTTATGGCTGAAAGATATCTGCAGATACAGAAGTTGTGATTGATTTTTCCAAGGGGTCTTGTCAATAGTTTATTTTGCCATGCATTACTGGGCAAAATAAAAAACAAATAGCCTCGCCGGATGCGGCTTGGACTTTGTTTCGTTTTTATGACTGCTATAAAAGTTTTTGTTATTTGCTTTATTTGCCCTTTCGTTTCCTCTGTGTAAATACTTGTCATATGGTCTTACATTGTAACTTCTATGAAAAATAAGGGATAAGCAGAAGCTCCATATTCAAGATCTCATACAACGAGTCGCCTCACTGAAGAGAACTGAGGCGCAGCAACAAAAGTCCTTCAATCAAAGATGGCATTGAGATGGCAACTGTTATCCACTGATGGCCGCTGAAGAAAGGCAGGTTAATCTTTCTTTGTATTGACTTCTTATTCAGCGTGTCATTGTTGCAGAAACAAAATATCGATGAGGCCAAAAAAATTTAACAAGTATTTCTTAAAGAGGGCGTATTTCAATCCTCAAAACCTCTCTCCAAAATTGTAAGGTGTTTCTCAACACTCAGCTTAGCACAATCTTTTAATGTATTTTTATTGTGAAACAAAGCTTAATTAAAGTCCGACATGTTCTCTGCTAAAGAGACAAGAACAGTATTATCAAAACACAATATTCACGAGAGTTTTGAAGTATCCCTGTACCAACGTGGACGACATGGAAAAAAAATTTTCGGTCGAGTACCCTCAGAGCTGTTGACACCTTCAAAAGGAACGTATTTGGTTCAAAACGACAAAAAGTGTGTGAAATATATTTTAACTCATCGATAGAGTTGACGAAAAAAAAGCAAAGGTTGATATAATTGTACAATAATATGAGGTAATTAACGATTCTAAAATAATTTTTTACCGACACCACTTATATTGTACCATACAGCATCTACGAGATAAAGAGTTCCACTCCTCATGAATCAGATTGCATCTTGTCGTTAGTGGTTCTCACCTCTGAATGTCTGGCGATTTTCACCCTTAATATCGTCACGATCATCGTATTTGTGAGGCAGCACCAGCTACAGCGCCGAAGTACTTACCTGATCATTCGTTTGGCGACGGTTGATCTCTTAGTTGGGGGAGTTTCTCTTACCGTCTTTATATTACAGATTTAGGACATCTGTTTTCAATGGGATCACGAAGGTCACCTATATAATCCTCTTCCACACCTTTTAAGGACGTTCTTCCCCCTGACATCCCTCGTTAATCTCGCTACTGTTTCCTTAGAACGAGTGCATGCAACATTTTTCCCTTTCAGACACCGTTTTATTAAGAAATGGGTTTATGGAGTTGCACTTGCTGGTATATGGCTTATGGCGTTATTAGGTGAAGCAGGTTTTAAGTGCTTGATAGAATACACGCACAAACACTTTCGCAATATTTGGTTGCTCTCGAGTGTTTATCATGTGATCGTTCTTTGATTATTTTTGTTTCTTCTATTTCTATTTTCATCAAAGTCCGATTTAAACCTACTCCTCAACACCATGGAGCGTCCAACAGAGTAAGAAAATTGAATTGTACTTTAATTTGGGTTACATTTTCCTCGATGCTTTTTTGGTTGCCATTCTGTTTCCTCGCTATTTTTGGGTATTTTTTCAAGGTCGAATCATTTTTTTTCTCTTCCCAGCCAAGGTAATATCTCACTTCGACGATGATCATGTCAAAGGGCGCTAACTCCTTAATAAATCCAGTTGTATACGCAACTCTGGTATATAAAATACCAGAGTTCAGGGCAGGAATGATCCGAATATTTCACAAGGCCACGAATCATATTCGCCCGGCAGATTTGCCGGTTGGTAATCTGCAGGCAGATTTTAGATCCTTGAGGCCAGAACTTCATGATCGTTGGCACTTTCCTCGTCTTTGAGCGACGATGACAGCACAATCTGTCCACGTAGAGCAAGAAACGAGATTTTTCTTACTTTTGTGCGCACAAAAAGATAGAGAACGATTTTAGAACTTTTCGCAGAACTCGTTGCAGTACACTACCTCTAATTGAGTTCAGAAAATTCAGTTCCTCTCTGCGGCAAATTTTCTGGGAAATCGAAATCAGTACCCATCCTTAAATTCCGTACAATTTAAAAACCTCGAAATCACCATATTTATTGCCATGGATAGGCTCCGGTGTAGCACAGTTCCACAGACCATTTTTGATCATTCGTTTAGCGACTTTTGATGCTCGACTGGGTATGTGACGGGAGAAGGAGGAAATTGTAAACAAAACAAACGAAACAATCTCAATTATTATAGACCACTAGATGTAGTTTTAAACCTCCGCCTTGATTTAGGTGTTGGAATTCAGGTTTTACAACTGACATTTATGTAAATAATACATTTAAGGCTTAAGCCCTGCTACGATTTTGTGAGCTCAGGCAATTTTGGCATCTAGTACGTTCGCTTGATAAAAATGAATCATAATCAGGCTTTTAACTGTATTAGAGGACTTAGAGTGCTACAAAGATTGTGACATAAATTGTAACTAACAGCTCATAAGATTTATTGAACAAGACAAGTTCGCTAATATAGCTAGTATTTATATGATGATATGTGTGGGCAGTGAAGATGAAGTAAAACTAAATTAGAAATCATTATGTAGGTTTTCCTTTCTTTGCGAAATTCGTGTAAACCATGGTCTCGTCTTTGTCATTTGATGATAATCCTCGCAATTTAAAGAAAAATGCCACTTGTCAAAGCTGTTTTAACCAACAAAAGATATTGCTGTCTGTGTCCTGCTGGATTTTAGAGTCAGACTTGAAGCGCGGTCATTCTCCTCAACAACGAAGTTTCTACGTCTCCATAATGAAACGAAACTGACGGACATTCACATATTCGCATATTTCTAACAAGATAAAACCTAAGTAAAAATTTCTTCTCTGACCTAAGATTTTTGTCTCTGTCAGCTAACAATACAGACCGGAGGGAGAAAGCGTTTACAACTTCTCTTCATTCATAGGTCATTTGGTGAATGGAAAATGTGAATGGAAACCTAATGGCCACAAACACCAGCAACAGATCTCTTACCAATTGGTTGGTGGTTCCTGTCTCGAGGTGCATTCCATGGTTCGCTGTGCTCGTCACTGAGTCTCTGGCCATAATCACTCTTAATATCATCACTATTGCTGTCTTTGTAAAGCAGCGCCAGCGAAAGCGCCAGAGTACATACTTAATCATCCATCTGGCAGTGGTCGATCTC